AAATTATTTATATTTTGGGCCTCATGTGAAATTTAAGCTTGTGCCTCATTTATTTTACTTAGTATTAGAGTCTTGAGATCCATCCCTTTCCCTACAAATGACTCGAGTTTGTTCTTCTTATTTTATGTTTTTATGTTATATGTGAACACTTTCTACTCATCATCTGTTGATGAGCATATAGGCCACTTCCATAATTTAGCTACTATTGAAACAGCAAGCAAGTTCAACGAGACCGGCATTTACAAGAGACCAAAAGAGCAGGAACGACCAATGCTGTACTGAGCCAGCTGAGGGACAGTCTCTAACCAGGAGCCAGAGAAGGTGTCCACCCCGATCTAGGTCTCACCTTTAGTTTAAGTACACCTTAGGTTTCCATAGTAACCATCACCTCCTTTTGGGGAAATTTACAAGAATGTCACATAATGGCCACAAGGTTTACATTTCCCAGGAACTGACCATTGTGGCTTAACTTTTAGCTCACTTCCCAATTTGTCCTGTTTGTGTTGTTCTGTTTTATGACTGCTCTCCTTTTTTTTTTTTTTTTTTTCTTTTTCTTTTTGGTTTGGTACTGGGAATTGAACTCACAACCTCAGACTTGCCAGGCAAGCACTTATGCCGCTGACCTATATCCCCGGCCCCTCTGCTCTCCTTTAAGTGAGTTGATAACTAACCAAGGGGAGGGGGTGAAGAGTGGGGTCAACTACAGGTTAAGTGACCTTAAGTGACTTTCTTTAATATGGAGTTACAAAAAATGGAGTCTCTCTTGCCCTATCACTATGAGTTGTGCTACTATAAAAAGGGGTATGCATTCATCACTGTAATACAGTGAATATTTTTCCAGGGTCAAATGGAACTTCTTTAGTTTTCTGAGGACTCTCCATACTGATTTCCATAGCAGTTTCACTAGTTTACATTCCCACCAGTGTAGAAAGAGTCATTTCCCACCACAACCTCACCAGAACTTCTTGTTTCTTGAATTCTCTAGGACAGGCATCTTCTGGAGTGAGAGGAAATCTCACTGATGCTTTGCTTTGCATTTCTCTAACAGCCAAAGATACTAAGCATTTTTTATGTATTTATTGGCCATTTGTACTCCTTTTGAGAAGTGTTTATCCATTTAAATTGCCAACATTTTATTTTTATACCTTTTTTGTTCAGGTTTTGGAATTAAATGTGTCTGAAAATTTATCCATTTCTTCTAGACTCTCCAATTTATTGGAATAGAAGTTTTCAAACTAGTTCCTTAATTATCTTGATTTCAGCAGTGTCTGTTGTGATTTCACCTCCCGCCCCCCGCCCCCCCGCCACCGCCTTTGGTCTTTTTGAGACAGGTCTCTCTATGTGCAGTTCAGGATGGCCTTGAGCTCACTTTGTAGCCTAGGCTGGTCTCAAACTCACAACAATCCTCCTGCCTCTGCCTCCCACGTGCTGAGATTATAGGCATGCACCACCACACCCAGCATACCCTTTTCATTTCTAATTGCATTGATATGAGTATTCTCTCTTCTTGTTTTATAGGCTTGACTGGGTTTATCAATCTTGTTTATCCTTTCAAAAGACCAACTCTTGTTTATTTAATATTTTTCCCTAACAGGTTTTGTTATTCTCTCTTTGTGATGAATTGCTGAGATTTTTTTCTATGATGTGTCATGGAAAAGTTATTTTCTAGTCATGGTATTTAGGGTTCTATATGCATAATTTACCTGGAAGTTGAATTCTTTCCTAGATTTGGAAATTTTTCTGCTATGATTTTGGTAAATAAATTTTTATACCTTTCCGTGTCATCTTCTAGTCTTACTTTAACTCCTATAATTCTTAGGGTTGTGTTTTTTCTTTTGTTTCTTTTTTATTATCTTGTCATGGAGCAGCTGTTGGATCCAGTCCACGGTGTCTTGTTCTCTTTAAGGTTTCTCTCAGTACTTGATCCACTGCCTCAACCTTATTGTCTAGTTTTGAAACCCTGTTCTCACACTGTTCATTTCTGCTGACCACACTTTCAAAGAGAATTTTTTTATCCTGGATTTCTTTTCATATTTTCCAATAATGACTAAAATGGTCGTTTATATCTTGTATGGTCTTGTTTAATTCAATCAATGCTTTGGTTTTTTTAATTAGTGTTTTTCTTTGTCTTAAGCTTGTTGAACATTCTATTATTCTGTCGTCTGCTTATTTACACTCTCTTTTATCTCATGGAACAGCTTGTGGATTTAGTTGTTTCTTCTTTGATCTCTTCAGACATTGTAACCATTTGGGTTTTGAGTTCTTTGCTGGTTACTTCATCCACTTCACTTTCCCAGTTGCAGCCTGTGGAGAGTTAAGGGTCTTTAGAAAAATCTTTTTGATTGTTTTCTCATGTTTCTATTGTTTTTGTACTGAGCGTTGGGGATCAGTTAGCGTAGAAAAACCCTGCGGTGATCTTTAGATGGTGTGTGTTTCCCCGTGATGTGACCTTGGCTTTGCTTATATTTTGCTATTTATGCATTTCTTCAGCCTACTCAGTACAAGAAGTAAGCCGTTACTGGCTATATCAGTCACATATCGATCAAGTAACTTCAAATTTGTTTTAACGCTTACACCCTTTTGTCAATAGTTCAGAGAGATTATGGTGTAGTACTGATGACAAATAGCTTGGGATGTGGAGGATGAGGGAAGGAAAACAGAAGAAAAGGGATATTCAGGAAGACGGAAGGGCGACAGCACAAATGAAAGAAAAAAGCGGTGTGACTGTTGACTTATTATGTGTGGCGTGGAGGCCTGGCGGGGCGGGTTTGGAAGGTTAACTGTGCGGGTGGGAAGAAGAAGGAGGAGGAGGGAGGCGCAGCTGGAGGCTGAGGGAAGGTCAGATCCGGTTAAGATGCCGGTAGGGAGCTGTGTTCGAATCCCTGTGCAAAATGTTTGGTGAGGGTTAACCTGAGGCGCGATGTTGTCCCACATCACAGACACGGCCCATGTGCACACCATACAAGGAAAGAAGCGAGAGGGAAAGGACAGCCTCACACACACGAGAGAACAAAGTAGGGTCCTCTCGGTTCTGTTCGTGCTGCAGCCAGAACTTAGCCAGTGGGCCCCTCCTTCCTCCTGTTTTCATGAACGTTGACGCCAGCTGCTGGGGGGGCGGTGCCCAGGAGGTTTTGTCCCGGGAATGTGGTAAATCCAGGCGCTGGGTGGGCGCTCGCCCCTGAGCTGCTTCCCACCTGTGACTTGTTCTCTCGCCCGGTGCCTGGAGAGGTCGGGGTCCAGAGGGCCCAGACAGCGGGCTTCCCGTCCCCTCTGCAGCTGTTCTCTGCGAGGTGACACCTGTGCTCCTGCTGGCGTGGCTCGCTGGAGAGTTTTTGCTCTGTCTTTTTTTTTGTGTGTGTGTGGTACTGGGAATCGAACTCATGACCTCACACTTGCCAGCTGCTGAGCTATATCCCCGGCCCTCTGTCTTGTGATCGGATACCTTCAGCTGTGTCAGGGCCAGGCGGGCTGGTCAGGTGGAGCCTTCCGTTGTTCCCACGGGCCCTCCTGCTCTCCGCCCCAGCCCCACAATAACCCCTGCGGCTGCCCCTTCTGCTCCTTCGGCACCGTCCTGGCGCAGGGCACCATGCAGCCCGCTCTGGCTCTGCTGCTCTGCTCCAGCTCCACCTGCCCCAGACTCCATCCATCCCTCGAACTCGGTGGTGCCTGGGGCTCACAGAGCTTACGCTCCTGTCTGGTGGTGGGAGGGTTCCCACGTGGACACTAAGTTCTACTGCATCTGAGTGGTGTCCAGTGGGTGATACCCCCTGGATACAATCTGCCAGTGCTTGGGGAGCAGGGGGAGGCTGGTGCTACTTGAGTGTCTTTTCTCCTCCTCCAGTCACGCTGGTTGCAACCCCTGCAACTCCCTGAGCCACGGCCCTCTCCAGGCCCCAACCCGCCCCACCCGGACCCTCGGCCCCTAGCCAGACTGTGCCTTATCCCTTTCTTCCCAGAGGGCCCACCAGTCCTGACTCAGTCCTTGCCCTCCGGACGATTCTCTGGGTTTTAGCTTCTGCAGTGCACTCACCTGCAGGTGGCTCAGGGGTGGGCTCCCTGCCTGTGCCAGGGATCCTCTCCCAAGGACTGGTGGCCAGATGTGGATGTAATCAGTGCCTGGGCCAGGGGCAGCCCAGTGTCCTGCTCTGACCCTGGTGCCAGAATCCACCTGGTGGGCTTCTCCCCCGGGGGATCTTCCTGTGTCTGGGTCTTTTTCACCTCCCCCACTTCTGAGCACCTGCACTTCTGGTGCACGGCTTCCACACGTCCTGAGAGTGCCGCACCCCACACTCACCCATGACGGAGTCCTAGACTGTATCATTTAGAGCAGTTTCAGGTTTGACAACAAAAGTGGTAGGAAAATATGGGAAATTCCAATACATCGCCTATGCCCTCACCCGCACAGAGCGCCCTCGTCCATTTACCACCAGAGTGGCACACTGTGGCGGTTGACGAACTTGCGCTGGCATCAGGGCCACACACCACCCTCAGCGTAGGCTCCAGTTTTGGCGTTGAACGTCCTCTGGGGTTTTCAGAGTGTAGACTCACGGGCCCACTGTCATGGTGCCATCCGCTGCCTACTCACCCTCGACCTGCTGGCGGCTGCTGCCCTGCTGCTGTCCCGCCTGTGCCCTTTCCGGACTCCTTCTGCTCCTCCATGGCTTGGCAGCCCAGGCCGACTTTCTCTTTTGCACTCCTCTTAAACCCTGCAGCTCCGCCTCCTGGGACCGAGGTGGAGGGACCTGGGTCCTGAAGTTGTGCTTGGTGCTGCTGCTGTTCAGTTTCCCTTGAGAGCTCTAAGCAAAGGCCGCGCTGGTGGGAGAGAGGCCGTACCCCTGCCAGCTCCATTCAGAGCAGTGCTGTAGAAAACCAGGGTTCTCTCCTCTGTCTGGAGAGAAGCCAGGAGAGTGCTCCAGGGAAGGGAGGCAGGGGGACCGGCCAGACACCAGCTCAGCTCGGGGCTTCTTTCCTCTGATGGCTGTGGCTTTTGGGTCCCACAGGGAGCTCAGAGTGGCTCACAAGGAGGAGCTCAGTGAGTTAGAGAACAACTACAGAGAAGCCCTGAAGGCCGAGAAATCAGCAGCCCAAGGGAAACTAGGTACTGCTGGGGACGGGGAGGGCCGTGAAGGTGCGAGGTCCACGGGGCCCAGGGAGCCCCACGGCTGTGGGTGGGGGCGGGTGGTTTCCTCCTGGAGCTGGAGCTGGGGGCAGGAATGGAGGATGAGACCAGAAGAGGAAGGACCTGTCCTCCCGGGCCTGCTGTCTTCCCTGGGGGCCCGCCCAAGCCCCTCGAGATGGAGTCTCAGCCCCTCCATCTGCGGGTCCAGGACAGAAGTAACTGCCCTCATCCATGTGTTGAGAATCAAAAAGACTTCTAAAGTATATTTTAAAGTTCTGCAAATATGATACAATTACAACTCTTAATTATACTTTGCTGATTTTCCATTTTCTAAAGAGAACAATGTAAGCCAGGAAATGGTATTAAAAGGAGAAGCCAGTGCCCAAGGTTGGTTCTGCTAGACGAGGTTTAGCCTAGGAGCTGCGGAGGTTTGGGGGGGCCAGGCGTTTGGGTATTTGGGGTTGTT